GTTAAGGGTATGAATACTTATGCAATGTACTTATTTCAGTTTTTTTATTTTTAATAAATTTACGAAGTTGTGACAATTCTGTTTTTGCTTTGTCAATATGGTGTATGGAGTGTAGATTGATATGGAAAAAAAGTAATTTAAAGCAGTTTAACATAAGGCAGCAACATAACAAAATGTGAACAAATGAATGGGGTATGAATACTTTCGCAAGGCACTGTATAAATCAAGTAGAGTATTAGAACAGTCCATGTGGATTGTCTGCAATTTTTTTATACTAATATTCTTTAGTATCTAATATCTAGTTTTCAAAATGTCTGGCCATAATTCTGTGACAAATAATATTATAACCAAAAAACATTAAACACATTTAATAAAATAATATTATAAACAAAAAAACTTATTCTTAGTATTATATTAGTATCGTAAGTTATTTATATTGATTTTCTGTAAATATATGTATATATATAAATCATTAAAATGAGAAAGAAATCACCTGTTAAGCTTGTTTTCAGAAAATTAATATATATATATATATTTATAAATTGATGAATTGGTATTACAAACATAATATGATTACTATTATAATTAATTATATAATTTTATTATTATCATAAAATTAATATTCAATTATAAATTATTAATATTTGAAACCGTATTATTTTAAAATATAAAATTATTTGAATATGAAATGAACTTTAATGCATACGTAAAATGTATTATAATAAAATGAATACATTCATATTTAATTAATATAACAACAGTTGAAATTATAAATTATTAATATTTTAATATTTTATTATAGTATTGTATCTTAAAATATAATTAAATAATATTCATGGTTTTTAAATATGATTGTGTTTTACAATGTAATGTAAACTTATTTATAACATATTTATAACGTTGATATTTATATAATAATATACATATTTAAAATGTTTAACAATCTTAAATTTCACTAGACTAAAGCTGCGTCCCAAATGACGCACTATGCACTTATACACTATGTACTTATGCACTATGCCCTCAATCATGTAGAGTATGAATTATATACGGTTATTTTGTCATTCATAATCGGAGTCTGGTAGCCCCTCCCCCTTCGCTACGTAATTAAAGCTGTGACAGTTGAGTGAATGAAGTGTCCAACATTCCACACTTCATTTTTTCGGTTATTTAAGTGCATCATCCGGGTATTTAAAGTGCACTTTTTCTTTTTGGAATTTTCAGTGTGAACGCACTACTCAGATTATTTATACTACAAAACGTCATAGAATAGTGCATAAGTATGCGATTTGGGACGCACCTCTAGACTAGTTTAGTGTAGTATTTGACATCTTTTGGCCTGCCAAACCCAGTTTTTGTAAAGAAGAGCCCTCAGTTGTCGACCTCACGATCTGCCTACTAATAAGTTCCCACAGACCCGTTTGACACGCGTCAGATGCGTTTCCTCCTCAGCTGAGAGGAAGTGCTCATCTTATCTGAAACCTGCTGCATCCTCTGACCTTTGACCTGCTGCTTCTGGAGAGATCAGATTCTGATTCAGTTCTGTTAGACAATCACATTAACCATCTTATATATTCTTCCAGTTGATTTGGTAACATTTACATGTTCATATATCTTTGGTGCAGTTTGTGAAGTTAAGTAGGGGTGTGAGTCTTTGGGAAGACGGCGAATCAGTTCATTTCTGCAAATTCAGAACGATTTGATCTGATTCACAATTTACATTAATGATTCACAATTGGATTATATTAGATTCTGTATATTTTTAGGATAATGTAAATGCTTTTCCTAATGTGTCTTAGTGAAGAAAGGAAAAGACGGATACTGCGTAAGATATTTATTGCACTAAGCATCTTTAAGGTAAACGCATTAAATCAGTGTACACACAGGCTACTTGGAATATAACAGAGTGCAATGTGCCAAAAATACATTAAATAATAATATAATATTGTACAAATTATTTATTATTAAATATTAATAAAAATATGTATTTTGTTTTATTTCAATTTAATTAATTTCCATGAGTTTTCTTGGTCTGGAAATAACCATTTTAAAATTTCCTATGATTTCCAAGTTTTTCCTGACTATGTCAGTAAAATAAGTTAATGCAAATATTGCAATATTATCTGATGAATTCACGTGTTTCAGTAAGTGACCACACGGTGAATTGGCAGCTTTATTGAGAAAACGAGTGAATTGTTACATCCCTAATTATTGGGTTAATTTTAGATAAATTTTTCAGATTCATTTTTAGGTACGTTTTACCTAAAAGTTTCATTTTTGTAAGTTAATAGAATTATGATGTTGAATGAATGAATGAATGAATAAAGATTTGTCACTTTTTCTTTTTGTTTTTTTGTTTTGTCACTTCCAAAAAAGGTATTATTATAAAAAAAATTTTTACTTATTTAATTAAAAACATAATGATTCATTTATTACTATAATAAATTAATGCATTAATGTTAATATAATTATAATTAAAAATACAGTAAATTTTTTCTTTTAAAATGTTTGAATTATTTGATATATTAATATAACTTCTTAATTCATGATGTTGATTTAAAAAAATGAATGGTTCCTTTTCACTTCCAAAGATGGTACATTAAACAGTATTTTAGTATTTTAGTGTCCAGTTAGGTTTACTACATTTTGTTACCGAAAGGTTTAAAGGTTTTAATTTTAGGTTAATAAAATCCTGTTGATTTAAATGAAAATTTCTGTTGATTTGATTAAAAAAAATATATGCACACATTTTTAGACAGTTAGTCTGATTTATGATCAGAAACTCCAGAGCTTCATTATCAAATGCAGATTTTCCATTGTGTGATGAAGTTGTCCGTCTCACACACACACGCACATCTTCATCACATTGTCCGTCTCACACACACACATTTCTTACCGGCTCAGAAACTCGGGGTGCGTTCACTGCGTGACCTCTGACCCTTGCTGTCTCTCCGGAGGCGGCCAGAGAAGGGAAGGCTTGTCTGGTATTATTTTGCCAGGTGTCTCCTCCGCTTCTGGGAATGTTGTTTTTTTCCCGGCCTGAGTAAACCGATCCATTGTTTTGCGGCGGCATGGTGTGGATGTCCCGTCCCTTCAGAAGAGATAGAGTTCATATATCTTAACCAGAACTTTCCATCACCTTCGGTCACGCTACATAGCCGCGCACAATACCGCGATCTCATTACCGCGCTCTTCTGTAACACAGGCGCTGTTGTGGGTGAAGTTCAGTGCTTCCGTAACACAGGCGCTGTTGTGGGTGAGGTTCAGCGAGGGGTCGCCAGATTGAGATCTCTTTCTCTTTGATTAGGGTTTCCCAAAGCAGGTGCACCTGCGCCGCAGACGGGCCCCTCGATCGGACAGGTCAGCAGCAAGGGCCCGGATCGGCCCGCGCCTCAGGCTCACCCCAACGACCAAGACGATTCGCTGGTGCAGAGAGCCGAACACATCCCGGCGGGAACACGCACACCCATGTGCGGCCACTGCAACATGGTCATCAGGTCAGGCATCTGCATCACCACACATTACATGTGCCATTTAACCCTCTTTCACCCACATTCGATAAGATTCAACAGTTCTTAAATGTGACCCTGGACCACAAAACCAGTCATAAGGGTCAATTTTCCAAAACTGAGATTTATACATCATCTGAAAGCTGAATAAATAAGCTTTGGTTTGTTAGGATAGGACAATATTTGGTTGAGATACAGTTATTTGAAAATCTGGAATCTGAGGGTGCAAAAAAATCTAAATATTGAGAAAATCATCTTTAAAGTTGTCCAAATGAAGTTCTTAGCAATGCATATTACTCATCAAAAATTAAGTTTTGATATATTTACGGTAGGAAATTTACTAAATATCTTCATGGAACATGATCTTAACTTAATATCCTAATGATTTTTGGCATAAAAGAAAAATCTATAATTTTGACCCATACAATGTATTGTTGGCTATTGCTACAAATATACCCCAGCGACTTAAGACTGCTTTTGTGCTCCAGGCTCACAAATGACTAGATGTGTTTTATTTTTTAATACTAGATAAAAAAGTTTGTAACTTTAAGTTCACTCTTAAAAATAAGTGCTTCACGATGCCATAGAAGAACCTTTTTGTCTAAATGGTTCCATAAAGAACCTTTAAAATCTGAAGAATATTTCTGCTTCACAAAAGCTTCTTTGTGGCGAAAGAAGGTTCTTCAGATTATAAAAAGGTAAGAAAGAGATGGTTCTTTAAAGAACCTTTGACTGAATGCTTCTTTGTGGAACCAAAAATGGTTCTTTTATGGCATCGCTGTGAAGAAGCTTTTAAGCACCTTTATTTTTAAGAGTGTAGGCTTGGAAAAGCCTAGCCAGAAAGTTTGAAGTAGTTTTGAAAGCTTGAAATTTGAAGGTTCTCAGTTGGAAATAGTTCAGTTTTAATTTAGTAGTTTTAAAAGTCAGATAGATAAACTGCTAAAAAAAACAGCTAAAATCAGCTGATTTAGCAAAAAAACGAGAAAAGAAAAGACCTGCTAAAACCAGTTCATGTAGCGAAAAACAACTAAAAACCAGGTAAAACAAGCAAAAGCCAACTAAAACCAACTGTTTTAGCAAAAAACTTAAAAACCAGATAAAACCAGCTGATCTAGCCTAAAAACTTAAAAACCAGATAAAACCAGCTGATTTAGCCAAAAAAGCTAAAAACCAGATAAAACCAGCTGATCTAGCCTAAAAACTTAAAAACCAGATAAAACCAGCTGATTTAGCCAAAAAAGCTAAAAACCAGATAAAACCAGCTGATCTAGCCTAAAAACTTAAAAACCAGATAAAACCTGCTGATTTAGCCAAAAAAAGCTAAAAACCAGATAAAACCAGTTGATCTAGCCTAAAAACTTAAAAACCAGATAAAACCTGCTGATTTAGCCAAAAAAGCTAAAAACCAGATAAAACCAGCTGATATAACAAAAAAAAAGAAACCAGCTAAAACCAGCTGATGTATATATAAAAAAAAACAGCCAAAAACCAGCTGAAACTGATTTAGCAAAATAAAAATAAAAAGCTTAAAACCAATTGATTTATTAAAAACACAGCTAAAACCAGTGATTTGGAATGTTGCTAACATGAATTAGCATATTGCTAGCATGAGATTATTATGAAAACTGTAAGTCAGATCAGTTAGAACAGATATAGCATACCGAGTCAGAACAGTCTGAAGATCTGGGCCGAGTTTAGTGGTTCTAGCTTGAATACTCTAGGACGAGTTTCAATTGCAAATTTAGTCTCAGAAGAATAAGAAGAAGAAGCTTAAATAACTTAACTTAATTAGGGCTGTCGATTTAACATGTTACTTTGGCGCAATTCATTTAGGAAAAATAACGTGTTAATTATATTATTATAAATTATTATAGGAGCCTAAAATTCAAGATACGAGGGTAAAAAATGACCCTCCTATATTTATATCATATGATATAGTTTAGCAATCTCACACAAGCAAGAGTGCTGCTTTACCCAAAATCTTCACCATTGCAAATGTGATCTTTAATACAACAGTTCAATAAACAAGAAGTTAATAATAGTGTAATAGTTTTATTCAAAGCGACAGCAGAATTGTTGTGTCTCCGAACAATTCACATCAGTGATTTGTTACTGAATGAATCAAGTGAGTCAGTGATTCAGTGACTCATTTATAAAGACAGTCACTTGCTTCACTTCTGAATGAATCAGCCATTTGAACAAATCAGTTGAATGAATGATTCAATGACTCGCTCATTATGACAGTGACTTGGTGCCACCTATTGGCACTTTTAGTTTAATATTTAAAGTATTTTTTAATTTTTCCCAAAATCATTTCATATTCCACATTAATTTATTTTAAAATCTATTAATGCCCATTTGTTATGATTATTTATGCAATTTTAAATCAAAATATTTCTTGCTGAAGCTACTTTTTGTAATGTCTGTTCAATGCATTTCCCATGTAACACAATAATGACTTTAAATGATTTTTTGGGGGAAATTTCTCAGCCAAATTTGATGTGCATTTGTTTGAGCTAATTGCGCATTAATTTGCAATTAGAATAATTAATCGGCACATCATATAATTAATTAGAATCAAATTTTAGTCATTTGACAGCCAGGTTCTTTTTCACGTTCTTTAAAGAACCTTTGACTGAATGCTTCTTTGTGGAACCAAAAATGGTTCTTTTATGGCATCGCTGTGAAGAAGCTTTTAAGCACCTTTATTTTTAAGAGTGTAGGCTTGGAAAAGCCTAGCCAGAAAGTTTGAAGTAGTTTTGAAAGCTTGAAATTTGAAGGTTCTCAGTTGGAAATAGTTCAGTTTTAATTTAGTAGTTTTAAAAGTCAGATAGATAAACTGCTAAAAAAAACAGCTAAAATCAGCTGATTTAGCAAAAAAACGAGAAAAGAAAAGACCTGCTAAAACCAGTTCATGTAGCGAAAAACAACTAAAAACCAGGTAAAACAAGCAAAAGCCAACTAAAACCAACTGTTTTAGCAAAAAACTTAAAAACCAGATAAAACCAGCTGATTTAGCCAAAAAAGCTAAAAACCAGATAAAACCAGCTGATCTAGCCTAAAAACTTAAAAACCAGATAAAACCTGCTGATTTAGCCAAAAAAGCTAAAAACCAGATAAAACCAGCTGATCTAGCCTAAAAACTTAAAAACCAGATAAAACCTGCTGATTTAGCCAAAAAAGCTAAAAACCAGATAAAACCAGCTGATATAACAAAAAAAAAGAAACCAGCTAAAACCAGCTGATGTATATATAAAAAAAAAACAGCCAAAAACCAGCTGAAACTGATTTAGCAAAATAAAAATAAAAAGCTTAAAACCAATTGATTTATTAAAAACACAGCTAAAACCAGTGATTTGGAATGTTGCTAACATGAATTAGCATATTGCTAGCATGAGATTATTATGAAAACTGTAAGTCAGATCAGTTAGAACAGATATAGCATACCGAGTCAGAACAGTCTGAAGATCTGGGCCGAGTTTAGTGGTTCTAGCTTGAATACTCTAGGACGAGTTTCAATTGCAAATTTAGTCTCAGAAGAATAAGAAGAAGAAGCTTAAATAACTTAACTTAATTAGGGCTGTCGATTTAACATGTTACTTTGGCGCAATTCATTTAGGAAAAATAACGTGTTAATTATATTATTATAAATTATTATAGGAGCCTAAAATTCAAGATACGAGGGTAAAAAATGACCCTCCTATATTTATATCATATGATATAGTTTAGCAATCTCACACAAGCAAGAGTGCTGCTTTACCCAAAATCTTCACCATTGCAAATGTGATCTTTAATACAACAGTTCAATAAACAAGAAGTTAATAATAGTGTAATAGTTTTATTCAAAGCGACAGCAGAATTGTTGTGTCTCTGAACAATTCACATCAGTGATTTGTTACTGAATGAATCAAGTGAGTCAGTGATTCAGTGACTCATTTATAAAGACAGTCACTTGCTTCACTTCTGAATGAATCAGCCATTTGAACAAATCAGTTGAATGAATGATTCAATGACTCGCTCATTATGACAGTGACTTGGTGCCACCTATTGGCACTTTTAGTTTAATATTTAAAGTATTTTTTAATTTTTCCCAAAATCATTTCATATTCCACATTAATTTATTTTAAAATCTATTAATGCCCATTTGTTATGATTATTTATGCAATTTTAAATCAAAATATTTCTTGCTGAAGCTACTTTTTGTAATGTCTGTTCAATGCATTTCCCATGTAACACAATAATGACTTTAAATGATTTTTTGGGGGAAATTTCTCAGCCAAATTTGATGTGCATTTGTTTGAGCTAATTGCGCATTAATTTGCAATTAGAATAATTAATCGGCACATCATATAATTAATTAGAATCAAATTTTAGTCATTTGACAGCCAGGTTCTTTTTCACTTCCAAAAACTGTACATTCAACAGTATTTTGAAGTGTGTATATATATATATATATATATATATATATATATATATA